TGCATGATTCTACCTGATGACATTCTGGAAAAGGGGAGCTGTAGGGAGAAGACAGGTCAGAGGTGGCCAGAACAGGAAGAGGGGAGGTGATGAACAACAGAGACAAAAGGGAATTTGGGTGATGAAAATGTTCTATATCTTGATTGTGCTGATGTTAATACAGCTGTATACGTTTGTCAAAATTCATCAAACCAAACACTTCAGAAAGGGTGAATTTTATAGTTTGTAAATTTAACCTCAATAAAGTTTACCCCGAGTAAATAAAGAGGTAAATCCATCAGACCCTCTTTTTCTGGTTAACTAGGCAGAGACTGTGCTTTTCTCCCTCTTCCCTGGTCTAAGGGGTCATTTCAGCCTAAATGATTCCCTCTTGTAAATGCTCTTCACTCAACTGATTACCAAACCAGAGAGAGCTCTTTGAGAGTAAACCTTTTATGAGTATCTCATTTTTGTTAAAATTTTAAATGTGGTTTTAAAGAATTCCATAGATAGTAACTGTAAAGTGAATCTACCTGTTTTGCAAATTTGAATTTTTTCATGAATTGGATTCGCTTATAAGGGAGTGTATACCATTTGTTTGATAGATCTTTCATATTCATCTTTTCATTATGGCAGGGCCCAGTGGAAACTAGAAAAACAGAGGGCAGGAGGGTAGAAGATAATACAAAACAATGGATAAACAAAACGCATTTCTTTTTGTCTTTCTGATGCATCCTCACAGGTACTCACACATTCCTCTCCAGTCCAGCACCCTAGCTTAGGAGCCACTTACTTTGAATGTATGCTTTAGACTTGTGATACAAATAAAGGAAATGGCTTTTATAAATTGTCATATCATGGAAAAAAGACTTTTGGCATGAACACCTGCTACATCAAAGTGCTGCTCTTAATTATGGATGTCTAGAAGTGTGTAATGCCAGTAAAGTCACCAGGCCTTTCTGTGACTCACTTCATCCTATTCTAATATATAAAAACCCAGGGTTGTAACAACCTAACACAACCAAGGCTGACCAACATGGAAGTCCTTCAGTCGGCACTGGGTTGCCATGGTAACCTAGCCCTGACTGCCCAGGGGGCTGAGACCCAGAGAGTGGCAGGGTCTGATATGCAGCCTCAGTGGCAGCTATTGATTAGTACTTGCTTCTCTCTTTCTCTTCCTCTTTCTTTCTGAGCTTTGCCAGCAGCTGGGCTTTTCTTTCTCTTCCAGCCTTCACCTGGGCTGCTGTTCAGCCCTGCCTCTCTGATCAGGCTCAGACATAGGCCTGGAGATGCTGACAGGCATAGGAACCTACCAATCAGAACCAAATATGGGTGCTGTGAAGAACCAATGGCTGTCTAGGAGGCAGAGCTTCTGATGCTCACTGGCACAGAAACCAACCAAATCTGGGTGCTGTAGGGAGCCAGTGGCTGTGGAGCTTTTGACGCTGGCATAGAAATTGATCAATCAGAACCAAATTGGCCAGCAGAGGAGGGCAGTTAGGGATGATCAGGTTGGCAGACAGAGGAAGTTAGGGGCGGGCAGGCAGGCAGGTGAGCAGTTAGGAGCCAGTGGTCCCAGATTATGAGAGGGATCCCCAACTGGAGAGGGTGCAGGCTCGGCTGAGGGAACCCACCCTCCATGCACGAATGTCATGCACCGGGCCTCTAGTATATAATAAAAGCCTAATATGCTAAGTGTCTGGTTGACCAGACCAATCAAAGCATATACGCTACGGCCTCTTAACCACTCACTATGACGTGCACTGACCACGAGGGGGCAGACAGTCAACTGGTTGACAAGTTGCTATGATGTGCACTAACCACCAGGGGTCAGACAATCTGGCCAGTAGGTAAGCTTGCTGCTGGGGTCTGGCTGATCAGGACTGAGCAATACGGGCCAGACACACCCTAGAGCCCTCCTACAGTCCCTCTCCAGCTAGCAAACCTCTTGCATCTCTCTCTGGCCCTGAGTGTGCAGTGGTGGGGGTTCTCGACCTGGCCTGTACCTTCTCACAAACCAGAACCCCTTGGGGGATGTCAGAGAGCCGCTTTGGGCCCAATCTCACAGGTCTTATATAAAAACTAGAGGCCCAGCTGAGACCAGTTTGGCTCAGTGGTAGAGCGTCGGTCTGCCACTGAGAGGTCCCAGGTTTGATTCCAGTCAAGGGCATGTACCTGGGTTGCGGGCACATCCCCAGTAGGGGGTGTGCAAGAGGCAGCTGGTCGATGTTTCTCTCTCATAGATGTTTCTAGCTCTCTATATCTCTCCCTTCCTTTCTGTAAAAAATCATTAAAATATATTAAAAATAAATAAATAAATAAATATAAATAAATTAAAACTAGAGGCCCAATGCATGAAATTTGTGCAAGAGTAGGCCTTCTTTCCCCCTGCTGCTGGCATCAGCTTCCCTCTGGCACCTGGCACCCAGGTTTCCTTCTGGCCACCGGCAGGCATGTGTGTCCTGGGCTTCCCTAGCAGCCCGGCTTCATATGGAAGGTAATTCGGAAGGAGGTCCAGTTTAATTAGCATATTACACTTTTATTATTAAAAATGGGGTAACAGTAACTATTTTTCTTTTCTCACATAACCATGGTGAGGTCAAATGAAATATTGTATGTGAAAGAGCTTTATAAACATCTAAATAGTTTGCTCTGGTAAATGTGAGCTCCTACTGAGTGGCTGTAAGACACAGCCAATGTGGCATGAAAACACAACTCCTTGAAAACCACAGATGTCCCCGCCTGTAGAGGAGGCCCCCAAAGCTTTGTTAGTTTAGGATATATATTTTTTTTTAACTTGAAAGCTTTATTTATTTTTTTTTCCAGCAAAACAAAATAACATGTTTATCTTTCTTACAAATAAAATAACATGTTTTTCTTAAAACAAAAAACAAGAACATCATATTTTAACTAAGTACACCTATTTGTCAGAATGTAATTTGTTACTAACCCACCTTACTTAAGAAAAATCTTAATTGTTGAAAGTATTACATATATTCCTCCTTTCACCCCATTGATCCTTTCTAGCCTGCCCCCACCACCTAATTTTTTTAAATAAGAGGAATATTCATCAATAAGCATTAACTCAGCAAGTACAGAGACTTTAAAGAATGGCATCTCACCCGGCTGGCATGGCTCAGGGGTTGAGCATTGATTGACCTCTGAACCAAGAAGTCATGGTTCAATTCTCCGATCATGCCCATTTTGGGGGCCCAACCCACAATGTGGGGCACACAGGAGGCAGCCAAACAATGAATGACTCTCTCCCATCATCAATGCTTCTCTCCCGCCCTCCCTCTCCTTCTCCTCTCCCCTCCTCTCTGAAATCAATAAAAATATATTTCAAAAAAAGAATGGCATCTCTTTCTAGTGAGTCAAATCTCAGAAATGCAAAAGACTCTCTAACCAACCATGGTCTTAGGTATGAAAACACAGAGATTGATAGGCTGCCTTCTTTCTCTTTATGTCATCAAGACTGATAAAGAAAAGACTTGGTCAACAGCATTAAGTAAAAATGAAGATTTCATAAGGTAATGATATATAAATATGGCTAATATGCGAAGTGTCCCCTCAGGAGTTTGATCAGGAGACCAGGAGTTCAATTGTTCACTATGACATGTGCTGACCACCAGGGGGGTGGCACGGAACATGGCAGGTGATCAGTGGCAGTGGTGGGACTCTGAGGGAGCCGAGAAAGGATGAGGCATGGAGGTGGGGTGGTAGGGAACTGCACAGCGGTAGCACACGGGTGGCAAGGGAAAGAGGAGGCAGGGAGGTGGGGAACCTGATTGGCCCTGATCGCCGGCCAGGCCTAGGGACCCTACTGGTGCACTAGGCCTCTAGTTCACGAATAAATATTAATAAACATGGCTAATTGTTATTGAAATATTTTTACATTCTTTCTCATTTGTGAGAAAAACAAGTTTGTAAATGTTTTTAAGTCCTCCATATACTACATTTGGCTAAAAAAAAATCTCAATACTATCGTTTCTAACTTACAAATATTCTAAAACCAGATAGAAAATTTGGGGGAGCCAATATACCTAAATCAAAGATATGATAAAAGCAAATATTGCCTCAAATATTTGACCTCAAATCACCAGAATAAGATGGACTCCTCTGAACTGTATGTTCAACTTGGCAAATGGAGTCACTGCAGTTAGCTACAAAGCAAAACCAGCAGAGTGGGTATACAGGTGGCTATTTATGAGCCAACAGTGGTTTGTCCCACAGTCTCTGAGAAACTGAGAGCCCAGTAGTGGACTAGACCCTGACAGTTACTAGGCCAGCGGAGTAGTAATTATAGAGGTTGACACATAAAAAATTCCAACAAGTTTTATCTACGATTACTATACTGGCAGCTTACTGACTATATATATTTACTTAAATGTTTGATTATGGGAAAGTTAAAATATATATAAAAATAGAACACTATAATGAATCCCATGTACGATCACAGATTGGTACATGGGATTCAATAATTAGCCAATCATGTTTCATCAATACCTTCTACCCATAGTATTCTGAAACAAGTTCTAGCTCATATCATTTCACTTATAAATATCTCAATACTAGTGGCCTGGTGCACGGATTTGTACACATTAAAAAGAAATTAATTAGAAGAAATATTTTAATATTGCTATTCATCCTTTCTCTATAATAGAAGTGTTAGCGATGAAAGAAAATTAGTAAAATGTACATGAAAATAATATATAAATTCATTAACAAATAAACCATAACATGATATAACAACAAAGACATATGAAAACAACAAAAAGATGATGTAAAAACAACAAAAACATGAGATAAAAATGACTGATAAGTCGATTACATTTATTCTAATATCTCCCTGTATACCACATTAAATAAAAAACATTTTCAGCCGAAACAGGTTTGGCTCAGTGGATAGAGCGTCGAGCATCGGCCTGCGGATTGAAAGGTCCCAGGTTTGATTCTGGTCAAGGGCATGTACCTTGGTTGCAGGCACGTTCCCAGTGGGAGGTATGCAGTGGGTAGCTGATCGATGATTCTCTCTCATCGATGTTTCTCTCTATCCCTCTCTCTTCCTCTCTGTAAAAAAATCAATAAAATATATTTTAAAAAAACAAAAAATAAAAACATTTTCAGAGCGCTTGACTCATTTCCCTTGTGATGAAGTATTTACAACTTTAACATCACACGCTCTTTGAACTCGAGAGAGAGCAACAAACAACTCCATTTCATCAGAGAAACTTAGGGATAGGCAACATTGACATGTGACAGCACCCGCGTTACATTCCACCACAACTGTGCTTGACAACTGCGTCCTCCTTTACCTCATTGTCGCCAGGAAGGCAGTTCCTACCAGGACTGGTAGTACTTTTCGTGGACCGGCTTCTTTCAGCTTCAGAGGCGCGTTGTAATCGCTGTAATCGCAGCTCCTCAGCCACAGTCCGCCCACGACACCACCTCCTTTCCGGTTGTGCCTGCCGTCGTTTCTCAGACATATTCTTCCGGTAACGCCGGCTTCTCTCGGCCGCAGAGGCACGTTGTGCCAACAGCTGCTCTTCGGACATGTTCTGTCGGCGACAGCGTCGCCGTTCGCGTTGTGCCAATCGTTGCTCCTCGGACATATTCTGTCGATAACGCCGGCTCCTTTCGGCGGCGGAGGCACGCTGTGCCAGGAGCTGTTTATACATATTCTGTCCGCACCACTTCCTCTGGGCCTCGTCGCCGGGGACGATTCTGACATGAGTGCCCTTGGCACTGTCGCCGTCCGGGGCCCCACTGCTGCCCACGGAGGTGGCTGGGGAGAGGTGCCCGGTCACAGAAGCATAAAGAGCGATGGGCACCGGGGCTGCGACTGGCTGCTGCTGGCTCCCAGAATCTGCAGTAAAAGCAGCTTTATCCGCTGCATTATAATCCTCAACTGCAGACTCCTCGATGACGTCACTGATTTTCTGCCATGGCTCCAGCTCCCCCTCCTCACACTCCATAAACAGGCCCGGGTCCGCCATGCGCCCGCCCGGTGGTGGCCAGCCGAGGTCCGGCCTGGAGAAGGCGCCCTCGCCTACAGGAGACCTTATGTTTCAATGGAAACACGGCTGGAGTTTGGCTTCTCAGCGCGGCCCAGGGAGAGCTGCCAAAGAGCACTGAGGTACTGCTGGCGTGAACCTGGCCATGACTCAATAGTCCTCTTCATTTACTTCCTAAAGACAACTTACTCCACACGACTTCCCCTTACCGCTTCCGGTTCTTCCAAAGTACTGGGCTTCTCTGGGTCCCCCCATAGTTGCAATCCTACATAATAAAGAGGTAATAGACAAATTCACCCTCCCTGCGAAACGTCCTCACAAGATGGCGGCACGCACATGGTGGGGGCGGGGCCGGCGGCCGCTTCGCTTCTCAAGATTTCTGCCGGGTTTCCGCAGAGCGGGGCGCGGGGGGGCGGGGGCACCGAGCGGCCCTGCGGGACTCAGGGTCCTTTCGCCGCCCGCCCGCCGCGCGGGGCTGGGCTCCGGGGCTGGGGGCGGTCCCAAGGTCTCGCGCGGGTCCAGGTCTCGCGCGATTTCCCGCGAGGGGCCACTAGTCAAATAGTAAGCCTCCGGCGCTTTCTCTCTCGCGTTTGGGGCTGGGGGGCCGCGCCCGGCTCAAAGAGGCCCGAGAGCCACAGGCCCGGCTCAGCGTCCCGGAGAGCAGCCCCGACACCCGCTTCATCCTCACGCTCCCCCATCCCGGGCCGCCGCAGCCGCCGCCGTCTTTCAGCGGCCGGGCTGGCCTCGCGATTTATCAGCTTCCTGGTCTCCAAACGTGCGGAGACCAGCCTACACGTGTCCAGGGGAGCAGGGGATGGGCTCTGTTTGATACAATAATGCATGCTACATACAGGTCTATGTAGCATTTTTGTATTGACAGCGTGCACTGTAGCTGCTGTAATCCATGCTGAGCTGTAGCTTGTTTTTCTGATTTCCTATGGTCGGTAAAGGGTACTTGTGCATCTTCAGAATGCTTCTTGGCATGGCCATTCACACAGCTTCCACAGTGGACACTTGACCGAGTCAAACAGAACCAGAGGCTTCAGTGGGATGGGCACACGGAGCAGCACCGAAACGGCGGGGAGCCATTGGGAAACTTGGCTGAGTCCGCAGCATGCAGACGCTGGAGCTGCGGTGCGGACACTCCATGGCAACGAGGAGAGCGGCGGCGAGGAGGGCGGAGGCTCCGGGTCCGGGTGAGGTGGGGGCAGAGGGACTCCGAAAGGCTCTGTCTGTGGTCGCTTCTGGCTGGGCGCTGGGCTGAGGGCAGCTGCATCCCCAGCCCTTGCATCAAAGAAAGTTTGGGATATGTTTTATTTCTAGTTTGTAAGCAACCTGCAGAGTCCCCTGCCCCCTCCTCCTTCTCATAGGAATAGTCTAAGGATTTCTCTTTCCATTTGAACGCTGGATGCTGGAATGCCAGCCTAGGCAGGGTTAGGAGGTTGGCGGTGAGCCGGGGCTAACGGTCCAGTGTGTACTGGGAAACTGTGGAGGTCAGCATCACAGCCAGCCCCACCATTGTCTGTCCTCATTGGTTCAGTGGACAGGCTAATGAGGCCTATTCAGGGAGGTGGGGCGTGAACAATGGAGACAAATCTTTGCCCTCTGTGCTCCCAAAGGACAAATTGCTGGCAGGATTTCCCCTAGAGCTAATCAATTCCAGAATCATTCAACCAGGGTTTTGAGCCCCTTAGTTGCTGACTCACAAAGGGCCATACTGGTGCTGAGTACATGGGAAACCGTTTTCACTAAAGTGAAAGGAAATGAGATCATTTAGCAGAGAGAAGAGAAGACCAAGGGGGCAGCACAGGTCTGGCAGAAATGAAGAGAAAGGTTAAATTCCCCTTTCTGTGCAATAGCTATTCCCCTCTGCTGCACAGAGCTCTCTGGCTCTCTCATAGTCCTTACCCCTACCAAAGCCTGGCCTCCATTCCCCACCCCCTCACCTACTCGCCAGAAATCTTAGGTACTGATCATCAAAGCAGGAGGGGTTGGAGAGACCAGCCCACTGGTTTCCAACCTTTTCAGCTCCAATGACTGCTTTTTCCCCCCACTCCCAACCCCCCCGTCCCCCATGTGGGAGATTTCAGAATAGCTGTCAGTATGGAATATCTGCTCCTTTGGATAGGGCACTGGGCTAAGAATTTTCCCTTATTATTTCATGTAATGGCAACAAAACCACTGAGAAGTAATAGATATAATTCTTTTTTACATATGAGAAGGCTTAGAGTAAGAGAGGTGTGTTTGCCTGAAATCTTACAACTAGAAAGTTAGAATTGAACCTGGGTCTGTGTGGCTTTAAGAAACCAAATGCATATAAGAAGAAATAGCTCATGCCCCCAGAAATTGCACTTATATATGTCTCAAGAGAAATGAAAACATATGTCCACACAAAACCTTTTTTAAAGAAATGTTCATAATAGTCAAGAGGTGGAAACAGCTCACATGTCCATCAACTGATGAATGAATAAACAAAATGTGGAATATTCATACGATGGAATATTATTTGGCCATGAAAAAGAATGAAGCTAGTGGGATATCTGCTACAACATGGATGAACTTTGAAAATGTTTTGCTAAGTGAAAGAAGCCAGTCACAAAAGATCACATAATAAGGATCTAGTAATATTTATTTTTTTTTTGTTGTTTTTTTTTGACACCCAAATCTCTTTTATTTGGGGAGGGGGGGAGGTTGGAGCCCTGGGGAGGAGCGGGCCCCAGGCCCTTTCACTGCACGGCTTGTTCATTGGCACTGCTTCCTGAGTCCTGTGGCTTCATCACGTCAGGCAGCTCTGGAGGGCTGGAGAAGGGCTCAATGCGCAGAGCTTCAAATGCATCATCTGCCCGGAAGGCCAGCCCCACGGTGGCTGGAGCCTGTGGCCTCGCTGTTTGACTGGTGAAGCCACACTCGCCCAGGGTCTTGCTGTCATCCAGAAGTTGGTCATCCTTGTACAGCCGCTGCTCGTCGGGCGGCCGCTTGAGAATGCCCTCGACGATGCGCTTCAGCTCCAACACGGTGCTCGACTCCTTGGCGTCCGTGAAGATGGTGGTCTTGTGGCGCCGGATCATAAGGAAAACGTCCATCGCAGCAGCTGCCTCTCCCACTCGACGCGCCGGCGCCAGGATCTAGTAATATTTAATGTCGTTTTTTAACATTCGTTTAAAATCTTGCTTGGCGTTGACTTGTATTGACATAACCTTCAAATACGTGGTATCTACAGAACGTGTGAAGTGCAATTAACAAGTTTTGCTTGAAAAAGTTTGTGTTTGGTTTGGTTTTTGTTGCAAAACTAGGGCTAAGAAGATGGCAGATGAAGAGCATATTCGGCACTGCATGCTTTACGAGTTCCAATTAGGAAGAAAAGCAAGTGAGGCTGCAAAAAACATCTGTAGTGCTCTTGGTCAAGATGCAGTTAGCGCCAGAAAATGCCAGCGTTGGTTTGAGAAATTTCGCGAGGGAAATTTTTCGTTAGATGACAAGAGTGGTCGAGGCCGTGTGTCCAATTTTGATCAAGAAGCTCTTCAAGCTCTTTTGGTGCAAAATCCTCAAATTACCCAACAAGAGCTTGTGACAACTTTAAATTGTTCACAAAAAACAATTTCCAGCTGAGACCGGTTTGGCTCAGTGGATAGAGCGTCGGCCTGCGGACTGAAAGGTCCATGGTTCGATTCCGGTCAAGGGCATGTACCTTGGTTGCGTGCACATCCCCAGTAGGGGGTGTGCAAGAGGCAGCTGATGGATGATTCTCTCTCATCGATGTTTCTAGCTCTCTGTCCCTCTCAATTCCTCTCTGTGTAAAATCAATAAAATATATTTTAAAAAAAACAACAACAACAATTTCCAATCAATTGCATGCACTTGGCAAAGTCCAAAAGTTTGGAAAATGGGTTCCTCATGAGTTGACCGACAACAACCGTAATCAAAGAGTCACAATTTGCAGTTCGCTCCTCTCTCGTCAAAACCATTTGCCGTTTGTAGAGCAAATTGTTACCGGAGATGAACAGTGGGTGCTGTATGTTAATTTGAAAAGGCGGCCTCAATGGTTGGACAAAAATGAGGCCCCGCAGCCCACGCCAAAACCTGACTTGCATGCGAAAAAAGTGATGTTGTGTGTTTGGTGGAATTTTAAAGGAATTCTTCATTACGAACTTTTACCATCTAACCAAACCATTACAAGTGCAGTGTATAGTGCCCAATTGGAAAGGTTAGCCCAAGCTTTAAGAGAAAAAGAACCCGCGCTGATTAATCGGAAGGGCGTAATTCTTCACCACGATAACGCACGACCGCATACTGCAAGAATCACTGCTGAAAAGCTGCGCCAGTTGGAATGGGAAGTTCTCCCTCAACCTGCATATTCTCCTGATATTGCCCCTTCCGATTACCATTTGTTTCGTTCTTTGCAAAACTTTCTTCTTGGGAAAAAATTTAATAATGAAGAATGCCTCAAAAATGCATTGACCGAATTTTTTGCATCAAAATCACAAGAATTTTACAACAGAGGGATTAAAATGCTTCCTGAGCATTGGGCACAAGTAGTAGAAAACAACGGCAACTATATTGTTGATTAAATTTTGTTGTATTGTTTAAATAAATTCGATTTTAAAAAGTATTAGAAAACGACATTAATTATTACTAGACCTAATATATGACTTCATTTACATGAATTGTCAAGAATAGCAAATATATAGATACAGAAAGTAGATTAGTGATTGCTCGGGACTGGAGGAGGGGTGGGAGATAAGGCAGAGATTCCTAAATGGTATAGGATTTCTTTTTGAGGTGATGGAAATATCCTAAAATTGACTGAGGTGATGGCTGCACACATCTGTGAACATACTAACCATTGAGTTGTACACTGTAAATAGGTGAATTGTGTGGTAAGCAAATGACATCTCAATAAGGCTATTTTAAAGGTATCACTGGTGCTATGACTGACAGGTTCCTTGGCTCTGTCTCATGAAGGTTGAGAAGCAGAAGCTGCACAGTGCAGGGAAAGAGCAAGAGGTTTGGAAGCAGTGGCCCTGGACAATTTGTTTATTTATTGGAGCCCTAGCTCATTTGTAAACTGGGGCTAGTAAGCTCATCTCACTGTGTTGTTATGGTATATGGGAAGCCCCCAGCCCCTCCAGTTCTAAAATTCCCTGATTTTGAAGTTTGAGGCTTGAGTGAAGTGGTAGAGGTGGGAGGTGTCTATAGACAGAGGGGTTTCCATTGCTTTGGAATCACACCCACAGGAATCATCCTTTCCTGTGAGTACCAAAGGCTGGCCAAGACAAAGGGCTGGATGGCAATTTATTGTCCTCTGTCACCTGATAGACCCCAAGTGAAGAGACTAGGTAGAAGCCACAACACGAGGCGGGGTTGTGTGGAACACGAGGGACAATCCTGCTAACTTTGGAAGTTAGTGGCAACCAGAACCAGGGGAGAGGTGAATGAGAGAGCTAAGAGAAGGCCAGGCTCCTATAAAAATGTGGCTGTTGCCTGGCCAGTGTGGCTCTGTGGTTGAGCATCAACTTATGAATCAGGAAGTCACAGTTTGATTCCTGCTTAGAATGCATGCCCAGGTTGCAGGCTCGATCCCCAATGTCAGTAGTGCAGGAGGCAGCTGACTGATGATTCCTTCTCATCATTAATATTTCTATCTCCCTTTTCCTTCCTTTCTGAAATCAATAAAAAAAAAATTTTTTTTTTTTAATGTGGCTGTTGTTAAGGCAGTGGGATGGGTTGGATGACTCTGATGTATTTCTTTCCAACTATGA